ACAGTTTCAAAAATTGAAAATAGAAGGTGTCTGGTACAACTCGAGGTGTGGCGAGTTAAATGCTCATTAGACCCATATGTTATAGATGGATAAGATAATGCATATCTACTCTATTAATTTGACCTTGTTCCCCTTTCTTTTTAGCATTATATTCTTTCGCGTGTTATCACTATTCTCAAATCACTATCACTGTCATGCAAAGTATTCCATCCTTTACTTGATTTATGTGTGATATACTTTTCATCTTTACCTTTATTTGATTTATGTGTATTATTTGTCAAGTGTTCCTGATGATACGAACATTAACAAACCAATTGATTTATTGTCCGATGATTTTGATGTATTTGTCATTATTAAAGATTATGTGCCTCTTGTAGTTGTAGACGTTAATGATATTGGTAAACAGGAGGTTCAGTTTGATGAAGAAAATGAGAAAAGAGAAATAATTTTTAACGGGTTTTCCAAATTCTAATTTCTGCTCACACTTTTACCAGGCTTACAACGTAAAATTCTAATTTCTAATTCTGTAAATTGTTTGGTACATTTTAATGAAAGAGTTTCAACAGTGATTTAAAATATGTTATTAGATTATCCTAAGAAAATAAAAAGTCTATAAAATTAGTTACTTAAAGTTGTGATTTAATCTCATTATTTCCTACCTAACTATTTACAAATATTGGTTATTATATCATATTAAAATTCTTAAATATGTTCAATCTGTTTAGATTCTTAATTTTTCTTTTTTATATTTTTATGTAAATTTATTTGAAAATATTATTTGGATATGTAGTAATGTATTTTTTTTGAGTGCTCAAACGGAGCTATGTACATATAATATTCTATTACAAAAGGTGAATAACTTTTTATCCATTATTTACATTAAAATTTTCCAAGTAATTAATTAATAATATAAAACTATTTTATTAGCTTTAAATATGATAATTTGTTATTGAATTGATAGTAATAATTTAATAATAATTTTATATGTTAAGATGAAGCGTGTTTTAAATGCAATACATCGTATATATAAAATAAAAAAAGAAAACCAAATGTAATAAGAAATTTATATTTAAAAAAAAGATGTTTTTCTTAAATAAATTGCATGAACAAAGTGTTGACTATGATCAATAAGAATAATTTGAACGCTTATATCAATTTAAATCTATAGTAACAAAATAGAAGCTTACAAATAAACAAAAAAGTAAGTAATCTTAATAATTATAATTTTTGGTCTAGTTAATTCATTGGTTCGTAAAATATAATTTTTTTTTTAATTTTATAGTGAAAGTTAATAAAATATATGAAATAATAGTATTGTAATTTTAAATTTAATTATATTAAAAATAAGTTTATTGTCTAATATTTTACAATAAAACTCTGCATTTTCTTCACATTTGTTGATTTTATTGATTCTTTTTTGATATTTTACTAATTTGATCATTATCAACAATAAATTTTTAAATTAATTATATATTATCAACACTATTTCTAAATTAATTATATAATTTATATTTAATAAATGAAAATAATATTTATTATAATAAAGTAGAGAAAAATTAAAAAAAAAATTGCTAAACTAAAAAAGGTATATATATATATATATATATATATATATATATATATATATATATATATATATATATATATATATATATATATATATATATATATATATATATATATATATATATATATATATATATATATATATATATATATATATATATATATATATATATATATATATATATATATATATATATATATATATATATATATATATATATATATATATATATATATATATAAAGTCTTAAGTTAAAAGCTACTTTAAATAATATTTGGAAAAAAAAGTTACCAAACATACTTTTTTTAATTATAATGAGATGAAAAGTTAAAAGATAAAAACTATAATTTTTTTTTGTTTTTGTCTTACCAAAATTTAGTCTCATTACTTCCCACCTAATTAGGAATATTGGTTATTATAGATATGTTCAATCTATTTTCGATTCTCACTAATTTAAACATGATGTAACAAGAAATTTATTGTCAAAATGTAAACTTTAACTAAGTCAAACTTGGTTTGGACGATTTTTTTTCTTCCAAATTAACTCATCTGTCGAACTACTAAATTATAAAACATTAAAAATTTAGCTTTGGAAATAAGTAGTTGTGTATCTAGATATTTACTTTACGCAATTTTTTATATTTTAATATAAATTTATTTGAAAATACAATTTTTAATATAATATTTTTCTATTTATCGCTTAACCTCACCCTTATTATTATTATTCCCTATCTTCACTTTTTTATTACTATTATTATCTATGTTCATTTTTTTATTATTTCATCTAATCTTAACTTTTAACAAAAGGTGATTAACTTTTTATCCATTATTTATGTTATAATTTTCCAAGTTAGTTAATTAATAATATAAAGCTATTTTATTAGCTTTAAATATATTATATTTATTGATAATTTGTCATTAAATTGAATAATCTTTTATATCATAAGATGAAGTGGTGTTTTAAATGCAGTAGATCGTATATAAAATAGAAAAAGAAAACCAGATGTAATAAGAAAATTATATTTAAGAAATCAAATAATATTCAATGACGAGATAAGCAATGTATAGAGGATTTTGAGAGAGTAATTGTTCTAGCATGGATTGTTGGACTCGAATCTATCATCAATCACGATAATACTCTCTATCCTCGTGGCCATTTTATCTAAAAAGCATAGGAAAACAGTGAATTTTACATCTAAGATCAAATCCATCTTCCACCACAAATCAAGTGAAAGGGCGAAGAGAGAGGGATGAGCCGCTTGACAAACTCTCCCCAAAGCAAAACAATGGGCCTCCCTCCTCGACAGAAAGGATCGTCTGCGAGGAGAATCTCCCCGACACAATACAGTGAGCCTCCTTTCTCGATAGAAAGGCTCGTCTACAAGGATAATCTTCTCGACGCAAGACGGCTAGCCTCTCTTCCCAACGGAAAGGCTCCTCGATGTGTAAGCTTTCTCTAGTGGGACGCGGGGAGCCTCCTCGAACCTCCCCGACACGAGGCTTCCCCGCGATGTTCACACAATCAAGGGAAGCAAGGCTCCCCAAGACCTCCATCGTAGGTCCCCGAGACCTTCATCGGAAGCTTCATGAAGTTTTCCAGAATCCTCATGAACTTCCCGACGACTTAATCAGAAACTTCATAGGAACGCCGAAAACTTCATGAATACCTTCGAAATCCTCATGCATTCCCTAGGAACTTCATGAGCTCCCTAGAGGAACCTCCAAAAAATGCATAAAATTTTCGGAAAATTCATAAAATCTGAAGAAAATACCGGAGACTTACTTGATGAATGAAGATTCTAGATGGCGGAGAAAGATTGACGGCAGCGGCGACATCAGGCGTTCTTCAGAGAGCGGAGAGAGCTTTGAGAGACTTGGGAAAATTCTTGAGCTAAATGAAGGGGAGTGGGAAAATAAAGCAAGTTTCCCCTTATTTATATCCCTAGCACGGAAAACGAAGCATCACTAGGCACTCAATTGCCCTTACTCGTAGCTGCCCTAGGCAACATTGCTCTTGAAACATGGCCCTAGAAGACACTGCACACGTCCTTTCAACTCCCTCTTCTGCTCGAGACAAGAGTTTCCCATTTCCCCTCCGTTTTCGTCACATCGTCGGCCACATCACCCACCGAGGACATATTTCTAGGGGAACAGGAAAAGAGCGAGGACTACGTATGATAGACAGTACCTCTCGCGAGCTACCCACCTTCCGAAGATCACGGGGCAGTTGACCTAGAGCGAAGACCACATGCTGGTCTTCCCTACGCCACATAAGCCTTGGAAATTACTCGTATTGGGCCTTACAATCCAATCCAGTGCAAAGTGACCGTTGGACCAGCGTTGGGGGCACATTATAAATATCCTCTTTCATTAGAGGATCAGGTATTCAATTCTATACACACTTTCTCTGTACTTGCTCTTTCTATTGTGTCTCTTACTTTGGCATCAGAGTACCTTGCAGGTGCACCCATCTCCTTTTCCACCATCGGTGAATTAAGGACTTCACGACGTGTTGCTGGCTGCTGATCCTTTTCTGATCCGATAAGATCAGTAAATAATAGCAGGGACAGTTTCGAAAATATAAAAATAAGGGGTACTCGGTTCTAGATGTGTTGCAAGTTAAATGTTCATTAGACCCATATGTTATAGATGGATAAAATAATGCATATCTACTCTATTAATTTGACCATGTTCCCCTTTCTTTTTAGCATTATATTCTTTCACACGTTATCACTATTCTCAAATCATTATCAATGTCTTGCAAAGTATTTCATCATTTACATGATTTATGTGTGATATACTTTTCATCTTTACCTTTATTTGATTTATGTGTGTTATTTGTAAAGTATTCCTCGATTATGGATAACAAATATGGTTGGAAGTGTCGATGTTATGGTTGATGATTCGAGCATTAACAGACCAATTGATTCATTGTCTGATTATTTTGATGTATTTGCCATTATTAAAGATCATGTGTCTCTTGTAATTATAAACGCTAATGATATTGGCAAGGAGGAGGCTCATTTTGATGAAGGAAATGAGAAAATAGAAATAGTTTTAGGAAGGAGGAAACTCTGTCTCATGCAAGAAATTAAAAGAGTTTTTATATATATTTTTACACATTATTAACCATTAGGGGGTTTTTTCAAGGATATCAATTTTTTAATACACATTCCGACTTAGATTTGATCAATTGCCTTGTTGTAATGCCTCGTATGCATACATTAACATTTTTTCCCCACAAAATCTAACATAAATGACCAATTAGAGTAACATAAGTGATTTTAAGAGGCTAACATGTAACATTTTTTTAAATAAGGGACTAAAGAAAATTTTTAAATTAAGTTGAGAGACTTTGTGACTAATCATTTCTAATAGAAAGTTCAAAATGATGCTAGTCATTGGATTAAAGTAAGAAGATATGTGAGTTTATATGGGGTTTAGAGATAAGTGGATGAGATGGATGGAGGGAAGAGTCATGAATAGTCATATGTTGGTTCTTGTGAATGGAAGTCCAACACAGATGTTCAAGATATCTAGAGGGCTTAGACAGGGTGATCCATTGTCACCCTTGCTATTTTCGATTGTTGGTGAAGGTTTGGCATATTTGGTCAAGCAGGCAGCAGAAGTGGAATTGTTTAGGGGGTTAAGGTTGGCAATGTAGCGGCATATAATTTGCTCCAATATGCAGACAATACAATGTTGTTAGGGGAGGCTAATTGGCATAATCTTTGGGCTATCAAAGCAATACTAAAGGGATTTAAGATTACATCAGGATTGAAGATAAACTTGAGCAAGAGCACACTCATGGGTATTGGGGTGGATGAACTTTATCTAAAAGCTGCTGGGAATTTTATGTTTTGCAAAATAGATAAAACTCCTTTTAAACCAAAGGTTGCTTCTTTGTAACTGCTGCAAGCATCTCATGGAATGGTTACACTCTTTGAAACCAAAGGTTGCTTCCTTTTCTACTTTGATGTGTGCTGAAGTATTTGGTGGACACAAAACCAAATAATATTCAATGACGAGATAAGCAATATAGAGAGGATGTTCGAGAGAGTAATTGTTCTATCACTACAACATTTAGACTCTCCAGCAACCATTTAAAAATGTTGCCAAAACTCTGGAAATCGTTGCCTAAAAGAATAGGGGACGTTTTCTAGGCGTCTCCTGTGCGAGCGTTGCCTATAGTCTGAGGGGACGTTTTTTCATGTTCTATGGGCACGCTTTTTAAAAACGTCTCCTAATCAAAAGGAATGGGGGACGATTATTTGTGGCCTCTGAGGCGACGATTTTTAAGCGTTGCCATATGCGGCTACAATTTATAATTGTTGCCTTAAAAATATGAATCAGGAGGATCATTTTTAAAGTGTAGCCATAGCTTATAGGTTGTTCTTTTGGTGTCCCCATAAAATATACAATTTCACAATTATTTTCTAAATAATATGGTCAATGATGATTGACTTTGAAAAAATGTCGATTATAACTTAAACAAGATCAAATTTAACCGTACATCCATAAAAGTTGTAATATTATAATAAAATTGAGTTCAAACATTAATTCAAGATAGTACCTGGTAAACAAAATGCCTAAGGTAACATTAAATATAATACTAAGTTTAATACTGATAATGATCGCTATATAATGGAACATATCCTTTAACGTCCGAATATCCTTTCAAAGCAGGTTGATCCTCCCAAGGCCATTCATCCCAATCAACACCGTGAAATTTTTTATTTTGACCTTTTGCAACTTCTCTAGGAGTTGGAGAGTATTCATCTTACAGATCCAAACATTTGATCAGTGTCATCGGGAGCATCACTGTAATCATTTTTGTCGTAAGGATAATTAACCCTCGATCTCTGGTGATTGTGATTTAAATGTTGTCTCTGACCTTCAACATCTTCTCCATATTAATTTCACATTTTTTAACAGTTCTTTGACAAGGCTATTGGGACCCTATATGTTAATAAACAACACGTACCCTTATTGCTGCACCAGCAGCAGTTTCCAGCTGAAGAACTTTTACTCCATCAACTTCCTAGAAATTTCAGCTTCTTTCTAGCTATTTTTGCAGGCAGCCACTGCATCAGCTTCTTTCCAAATTTGGTCCTAATTCAATACAGGAAAAATAAGAGTGGCATTCATTATTTTTGCAACAGCCACTGCATTACATATCTGCATTTTGGAATAGGGGCCAAAATAAATCATCAATTGATAAATAATTATGAAATGATTCTACAAAACTTAATGCAAAGTGTCATTTCATAGATAAGTCTTATATAATATTATGATTCTACAAATGCAAAGTGTCATTTCATATAGCCCATTTTTATGTACACAACAGTAAAATCAACATCATGGATCTAATGCAACATTGATCCAGAGTCAAAACTCAATTTTAAATTATAATTGTAGTGGTATTGCCAGTGCATCAAATTCAAAACAACATTGCATATCTGCATTTTGGAATAGGGGCCAAAATAAATCATCAATTGATATATATATATATATATATATATATATATATATATATATATATATATATATATATATATATATATATATATATATATATATATATATATATATATATATATATATATATATATATATATATATATATATATATATATATATATATATATATATATATATATATATATATATATATATATATATATATATATATATATATATATATATATATATAATTATGAAATGATTCTACAAAACTTAATGCAAAGTGTCACTTCATAGATAAGTCTTATATAATATTATGATTCTACAAATGCAAAATGTCATTTCATATAGCCCATATTTATGTACACGACAGTAAAACAACAACATGGATCAAATGCAACATTGAACCAGAGTCAAAACTCAATTTTAAATAGTAATTGTAGTGGTATTTCCAGTGCATCAAATTTGAAACAGCACAGTTTTGTGATGGCACTTTAAAACCAGATAAGAATGCATAGGCTTATTGGAAATATTACCTGAGCACCGAATGCGGACTTAATATAGTCAAATAGTTGTCTCAATTGATTTTATCTAAAAATGCATCCCGAAATAGCTAGATAAGCCAAAGCTTTGTCACTAAAAGCCAAAATAAACAATAGTTGTCTCAATTAATTCCTATATGAAATTGATGACCAATATACCTATAATGCAGTATATGACACAACTTTAACACAGCCACACAGATTCAAAACTTTCAGCTTCCTGCATAAACTAGCTAGATAAGCCAAAGCTTTGTCACTAAAAGCCGAACAACCACTGATGTTAAGTTTTTTAAGATCACAACAACCAAAAGCTATAGCATAAATCGAACGATCTGTAAGCTTGAAACTTTTGCTGAGGTCCAGAACCTGCGGGTCGGGACAGAATTTTGAAACAGCCTCAACAGCATTGTCCTCAAGTTGAGGCTTGTCTTGACGAAGGACTAGAGTCTTCAACTTTGTGAACTTAGGAGCTAGAGATAGCACCAAGTTATTCATGTTCTTGCTACACCTAATAATACATATACTTTTATTAATCATAGCTTCAACAGAGAAAACAAAGAAGAAGAAAAGTATAGTATATATACCATGAGAGTGATAAGTGGGTGAGACCAAAAGAAATAGAATCTCTCCAGCCATGACAAACATGAGAAGCTGTAATAACCGTTTGATAATCTAAAAGTGACAAAATCCGCATCAGAAGATCAACAACTTCATCATTGAGCTTGACGTGTTGCAACAACGAGTGGTTCAACAGCGGCTAAAGGATTAACCTGATATGAAAATGCAAGCCGCCACAAATCGACCAAAGCCCTCTTCACTGCGACCACTTGTCTTCTTACAGTCCTAAAACATGAATAGTGACTATATTCAGAAATTCATATAAGAACATTAACAGCAGCCCAGAAAATAAAACCAACACCAAAACAGTAAAAAAATAAAGATTAATTTAAGCTAAGCTATTTTTGACACACAACTCTAGTGTGAGAGGATATGGACATGAGATTCTACTAGGTAGCCAAGAATTCAAGTGATCACCTTTTAACTTGAACACCCCTAAATCACACATAACTAGGAAGTTCTAGTTTCAAATCCAAGACTAGATGTACAGCATAAAGATATCAGAGTATTTGGTATTTGAGTTAGTTCTTATGAACCATTATCGGTAATTATATTTTATTGTAAAAATAAATTTATTTACTTACATCCACAATCATAAAAGCATCTTTATAAATCAACTCCATAACTATATACATCAGACCTCATATTTGTAGTGCATGAAACCACCAAGATCCATCAGAATATTGCACCTTATCACACCTCAACTTAAACAAGCTCTTATTATAAAATTCTATAAGACCTTTCATGGTTGGCCTCTTTCGCGGATCCTTCTCTGTGCATTGTAGTGCTAATGAAAGTACTGCATTGACTTGCTTCACTAGTGTTGTTGAACTGGGAAATGCACTCACAAGGTACGGATCAACAATTTTTTTAATTTTGCAGGTTTCCATCATTATAGATCTAGCCCAGGTCACTATGTGAGTCTCCATCGACTCATCATACAAACAGGGGACTAATAATTTCCTTCTAGTTATTAGCTCAAGCAAAACAACTCCGTAGCTATATACATCAGACTTTGTTCCCGCCAGTATATCAAATGCTTTCTCTGCCACAGATGCCAAAGCAAACATGTTAGAGAACACTATTTTGCACAGCTCCTTTAGAGCTTGGTTGGAAAATAAAGTCAATATCACATCCTAGAATTCAAATTACTATTGGCAATTAAGGGGTTTTGAAAATCATCAGTAGCTGTGGATGAAAAGTTAATTACCTGGTGCAATATAGCCTGGAGTACCAACAACCCGCGATGAAAGCATTTTCCTAGTTTCAGAATGACTATAAGAATCCTCATGCGCCTTCTTGCATAGGGCTGTGCCAAAATCAGCAATGATAGGCTCCGTGTTTTCATCAACAAGTATGTTCTTTGGTTTGATGTCCCGGTGCAATATTGGTGGGACACAATCATAGTGCAGATAAGCTAGTCCTTGAGCAATTCCAACAGCTATATTAAACCGAACATTCGACGATAAGGGTGGTGGGGGTTTCTTTTCTTGCAAAACATCATAAAGGCTTCCGTTTTCTATAAACTTATAGAAGATTAAACCATAGTCATTTCCAATCCAGTAGCCAGCGGATTTGATCAGGTTTCGATGTCTAAAGATCTCAAGGAGTTCAATTTCGTTGCGCATGATATTTAACCGCTTTTTCTTGTTCACTCCAAATTCAAACTTCTTTACAGCACAAAATTGTTCACCAATCATAGCTTTGTACACAATACCATGTGCTCCTCTGCCAATAATATACTGATCACTTAGATTCTCCGTAGCCTGCAACACTAGATTCTTAAGGGAGAATGACTTACCTGAGCTATTGAATTCTTGAACATATCCAAGTCCAATCCTTTTAGCTCCTCCATCAATATAATAATGTTGTTTTAGATCATACTCCATACCTGATTCCTTTCTAAGAAGACACCTTTGAATTATTATTACCAGTACAACAGAAATCAATATTGAGGATCCAATTGCTATCATCACAATTTGAACATTATGATAAGTAGATTTATGTGATTTATCGACACATGAATTTGGACTTAGGAGAGAATTACCCATGAATGATGAAGGTGAGGATTTCAATAACTTCATTAGACTTGGTGGTACACAACCTTTGAAGAAATTGTAAGAAATGTTGACCTCAATCAATGAACCAAGAGCTTCAAGAGTACCTATGCTTCCAGTTAAGTTATTCAAAGATATATCCAAACTTTGCAGCTGTATTAGCTTCATAATTTCTGAAGGAATGCCACCTGTCAATCCATTAGCACTCATATTTAATCCATAGAACAAA